ATCATTATCCGCAAAATAATTATTTCTACGGAACACGCAGACGCATGCAGGGTATACATCGCGTTTATTTTTATTATACGCGGCAATAAAATCCTGATTTTATACGCGCATATCAATGTCGTCCTTGATGCATGTGTCGGACAGTGAGAAATCGCGTTTGTGCTAATCAATAGCAGGGATAAGGCAGCAGGACGTAAGAGCAAAGTGACGTGGTAGATCGATTTAAAACGAGAATCTCGCATATTCTGAATTTTAAATTTTCGTTCCAATATAACGAATTCTTGCGGAATATATCGTGAAGGAAAAATACGAATTTGTTTATATTTTAATGAAGAAATAAGAAATTTTTGTTTTTAGAATTTAAGAATGAAAATGTATATATGTAAGTTTCAGTCCTTTGGGAAGCTTCAATAATTTCGCATAATTCTAACTCCAATTCTCTTCCTTATATCTAGTATCCTTGTCCCGATTCAAATAGATTTAAATAGAATATTTGTTTTCAACCTTGCGATTCGTGAGAATCATCGACGTTGTCCTTCGAATATATGCTTGTGTAAAGATACTTTCCGGAATTAACACATAAAACTTGCGAGAATCTACGTGACATGCGCGACCGGACGTTATTTGCAATTAGTGCTGTTAAAGAGACAACGTGAATGAGCAGTGTTCAGAAATAAAGATAAAAACTAAAATAAAAATGTCGTACTTTTTTTCTCGAAGAAGCACAATTATGTAGTAATTAGCATTGCGATAATTATATCACAAAAACAAATTATAGCGGGACTCCCCATATCGAGACGACATATCAGTTTGTACAATCTGTTTTGCATAATCTATAACAGATAAGAATATTAATATATTTCAGATTTCATTTTTATTTTTTCCACGTTATGGCAAAATAAACAAAATAAAAAAATCTACATAAAATATGTCTATAATCCCAGACAATGTTCTTATAAATTTAAAATGGATCTCTTTTTAGCAAAAATTTAAAGTTGAGTTGAGTATAAAATTTATTTAATGCTAGCGATTTAAGAAACTTAGGAAGTTGAGAGTTCTTTTTATAAACATTAGATACAATTGCATGCAACGTATGGAGAAAATTCTGCTTTTTCGCAAACGGCAGCTTTATAATAAACGCGCATTATTCTAACGGTGTGTAACGGTTGGGAATCGTTGGTTGTAAAGCAACCGCTGCCACCGCCCAAGCAATAACTCCAGGAAGAGAACACGATATTACAAAACGATATGTAAAAAGAGCAAGGAGAATATTACGCGTTTATTCATAGATGGAAATTTATTCGTAGGCACAACAAAGTCAAATATTCTGAATTTCTTCAAAAATACACCGAGAAAAATCGTTTGATTGTATTAACAAGACGTGATACAATCTGATAAAAGGCATTTTGATTAAACCAAGCAGAATTTCTAGTTATCACAATAAGACTCGATTTTTTATAACTAGAACGTTTAATTGATTTTACTATAAAAATTTGGTTAGTATTTTTTAGTTGGATCTATAAAACTACTTGTTATATTAACTAAACATAAACACAGTGATGTCATTTTTTAAGTAAATTTAGTATTATTAACAAGAGAAAATTTGATAAATTTAACAGGAAAAAGTTAATTATAATCATCTGGTAATTCCTAAAGGAATTCTGATTCGTCTATTTTCCAACAGACATACTTGAGTTTACCAGATTTCTAATTAATGTAACCAGATTTTTTTATCAGTGTAGAAAATCGATTGCTAAAACTGTTTTAATAAATAAAAAATAATTTACTCTCTTTGAAGGAATAAAACTGTATAATTTATTTGAAGAGAACAGTTTTCGATTATTTCTTCTACAAAAATATGCAAAAAAAACTCCATTTTGCCAATGATTTAAAGTTTGCCAAAATTTTACGATGTGAAGTCAAGATAGCGAATAAGCGAGGTCATCGATCTCCACTCGGATAAGCTACATATAACATTATCAAGATAAAAATCATGAATTATTCACGATTTTAATTTTGCATTAATTATTCACGCATCGACCGCGAAAACGTTAGTATAATAACGGCTCTTTCAGTTTAGGCGCAAAAATGTTTTAATGGAGGAAACTACCGATATTATTTTAATTAAAAGAATAAATATTAAAAACTGTACGAATTATACATACATAAAAAAATATATACATAGCGTGTATTTATTGTAAAAAAATTTTAATAAAATGACAAGATAAAATAAATTTCTGTTTTCAAAATATATAATTTAAACAGCAGCGATGATTATATAATTCGTGATTTTATAATCGTTTGATCTTAATAAATTTAAAAAGAGTGAATAATAAACATAAACATATGGTTTAAGAAATGAATTAAAATCAATTAGAATGAATAAAAATGTTAATTACTATATATTACTCGAAATCATCGATTTTGAAAAGTTATCTTCCATTTCAGATGAAAGAAAGCTTGAATGGAGGAATTTTTTTTAAAATAATAATATATATAATATATAACAAATGTAACATGTATAATTATTTAATATTAATCGGATTAATAAATTTTATGAATTTGATAATTTGATCTGATAATCTGATAAATCTTGTGTGATATCATTTTATATCTCTAATAATTTTTTAAAATAAAAATTACATGTATATATCTCGACTTTAATAATTATAATATCATTCAACTATAAATCGAGATATTTCAGTGAAACGATGAGTAATTTTTAATTAAAAATTTTACTGCGTCGAGACAGAACGATATATAAACTTGGTTTACATAATAGTATCTATGAATATGTGCGCATTGACACGTGTATCGCACGCGTGTGCGATTCATCGCGCGTTCCTCGATGAATCATAGCAATGAAATAAAACAATTTACCTGACGGCTCACGATTTATCAAATTCGCAACATAATCGCGACGCATAAAATAATGCAGCGTGTGATGAAAATTCTAATGGATAAAAAATAGTGATAAGAATTCTTGTTTTATGATCAACTGAGAAAAAGTCATAATTATTTATCTCCTTGTTTATCCCAATATTTGGTCAAGGATAATCTTTTTAAATGAAGAAACGCTCGGTTTTTTATAACCGTTCTTCTTAAAATTAAAATATTTTTACAAAATATTTTAATTTTGTGTTGTATTTTTATATTTTTTCTTTTATGAAAAGATATAATCAATTATATATTAAGAAATATTTTTTGTAAAAAATTTGTATAAATATGCAATATTTTTTTTCATAGCGAAAACTATAAAGATCTCTTTCTCTTTAAGAATAAAAACACATTAGCTATTGTTCTTGCACTTTCATGTCATTTAAGCATGTCGAGCACGTGCGAGATTCATTTACCTTCATTGAAAGAAGCGTCTTTACCGCAAATGAGAGAAAGACATATGTATAAGTACTGGCGACACGAATTTTGCCACGATTTGTCCTCAAGACAATTGGAAAAGGTCATATTGCCGATAATTCATCACATTTAAAAGTTGGAAGGATAACGCCAATTTGATCATTTAATAAATCTTTAAATTTGCCGAGGAATAATGGACAAATTAGCAAGATTTTTAGTGTACATTTATAAAGTGCATATATGTTTGTATAACATACTTTGTATTTTATTTATTTTCTTAAATCCATTAAATAATTTTATTAAATAAACTATAATAATTCTTTTTTATTTGTTTTTGTTGAGAATCAGTTACTCATTGTAAATTCGTAAAAAATAAATGTTGATTAGTATCTTTAAATATTCAAAATTTGTCAGTCTGTATAGTCTTGCCGTTGCACTTCCGTTCGATATATTGAATAGTGAATGAATCAAATGAATGCTTTTAAAACACAAACGCGACACGTCACGCTGGCACGCGAAGTTTGCAGGTGCGTCCTCAACTACGATTAATCGGACCATAAAAACCGTAATGATTGCATATATCGTTTAACAGAAAATACAATAATTTATATTAATCAGGCATATCATATGAAATATTCGCAATGACATCCTGTATGCTATAATAAAGTATTAAACATATATAAAAATATAAATAAGAGAGATACGTTGAACAATGTATTTCAAAAGATATTAAGTTCCATTCGTGTTTAAAGATATTCATACACAATTAAAACTCAAAAAATATGTAGAAAAGTTTAAACAAAATTTTTTCAAATATTCGTTGTATCTCTCTCTTCTTCTGAACTTTTTGAGTTGCTTTGAATATTTAATTTTAACTGAAGCTTATCTATGATTTACAAATGTTATCTCATATTATGTAAAAGCAATTTGACGATTCTACAAATAAAGTTCTTAGTAAATAGTGATAAATGGAAGTTGAAAATTTCGCTGTAGTATGATATAGATTGTCTTGTACGATACAGAATTTAATTATTTAATTACGAGTCATAAGTAATTTATCACGCTTATATCATCAGATTAATTATTTTCTTTACATCAACATATACATATACAATGGTTAAGGAATAATAGGAAGAACTTTAATCGAATTCGAGCTGAAGTTTTCTAGCTGAACGTACATACATATACAATATTTACAATTAATTAAAGGGTTAAGTCAAGGCGTTTGTCATCCCATTAAATCAGCAATAGGTCACAAGCCACGTTATGAATTCATTCCCGAACTCAAGATCTTTTCAGGACCGGGCATATGAGATAGCCAAGTATAGATATCGTGGGCCGAAACGGAAAAGAGCAAAAGAATCAAGCAGCGAGTTGAAAGTAAGCAGAAGCGAGCGAGATCGAGGCAGAAATGTGAGAAGCGGTGTAGGAGGAAGACAAAGAGAGAAGGAAAGATGAAGAACAAGGAAGGAGATAAGGTAGGTAGGTAGGTAGGTAGGTAAGTAAGCAGATAGAGTCCAAGAAGGGCGAAGAGAAGACTAAAAGAGGGGCCCCTCCCGATGGCTCGATCGGCGAGGAGGGTCGGGGCCCCCTTGCACGATCCTGGCCGCTAGGACGGGTGGGTAAATGGGTATATAAGCGGGGCCCCGGCGATTCCATCTCGACACACGACCCAACCTTCATCCCGATCGCCAACGGTCCTTCGCAAACGAGCGTAATCTGCACGCGCGCGAAAAAAAGAGAAAGGGAAGACAGAAACCCCCGCGTTATTTCGTTCTCCGATCGATCGCGCCAATCGATAGTTCGCGCGAACCGGTGAGAGCCGACTTGGGAGACAAGAGCAAGAGAAGCCGAAGAAGAGCAAAGGAAGCCGTGCCCGACGCCAACTCGTCTGGCAAGAGTTACTCGCTTACGGAGAAGAGAAAAAGACGTGAGTACACAATCTTCATTCTCTTTTGCAGAGTTTTGCAACCCTCGAGTAAAGAAACTCCGTCTCGCGACAGAGAGAATTGATCTTTCGAAGGAGACGCGACAAGTCATCGTTTGTCGGCCACCACGGATTACTCGAGCCGACAATCTCGAAATGTTTGTCGATCGATCAAGTTTCTTCGTTAAGCCATAAGCCGACATAATCTTGAAACTTCGGACATCGGCCGAAGCGTGAAACGCGAATTGCGATTTGTTTCCAGTAATCGATTCAATTAATTATCAAGTGACATTTTTTCTCATTTTTGACATTTCATCAATTAATTATTAAATTTTATATGAAGTTGAATCTAAAATTCAATATTGCATATTATAGTTTAATTTCGAAATATGAATAATGTGAATAAACTTCATAAATAATCATTCGATGACATCTCGAGTCCAGGTGACATGTGCGATTGTCAGACGCGGTTAATTAACTCGGATTGATTATTAATTTTGTGCGCAAGAGACTTTTCTCGAGGCTACGCTTCTTTCGCAATATGTGTAGGACTTGATAACGAGTCCCCGTGTTGCGGTTTTACCGCGACAGTAATAGACAGTTTTGAAAGTGGAACGCGACAATGCTATTATCCACCGTTCACACTGGTATTCATTCATTCAATTAATCGAGATATAGGGAATGCGATTTTTCGAAGTAACGCCTCGAAAAAATGTCTTCCTCTTTGCTAATAAACATGATTACAATTCTCTAACCATTAAATTGTTTTTGTATTTTAAAAATGATTAAAAAGAGATCGCTTAGAACATATCTATTATTCGTAATCCATAATTCTCGATAATTTTAATCCATAAATAGAAAGAGAGAAAAAAGTCTTGCATATTAATTGCAGTATATTTAAATACATAGAAGATTTTTATACTTTAACTTATATTAAAATCATTTTGACTGCAATATGTACAGAGAATTTTGTTAAAATGATGAGAAACAGAATAAAAATGCATCCATAAATTGCATGAAATTGCACGCCCAAATTTATTATTTTTATATTAACTTGTATAAGTATAAATTAATTGCAAGAAATTTCAATTGATTATTCGCTTTTATGTTTCTTCTCGACGAGACAAATGTATGTCTCGCGCAATTCCCGTTGGATACATATGACATTCATATCTAAAAAAAAGTCCATAAAAAAAGAAATTAATTCACGAACATCTTTTATTTGTCAGAAAATCCAGTGTTAAGAGGGCAAAACGTGCGTCAAAGCGCTACGTCGTTGCTGTATACATAATTTGTAGATTTCTTAAGCGGCAACCGCGTTTGCGTAATTTTGCGTCCCCCTCTTACAACGCGCTTTCCGACCCTTAATTAGCCAGCCTAATCTGTCAATCTACAAATTACCTGCGCCGCAACGTCAACCCGAGGTCGCCAACCGGCGGCCATTTTCTTGAATAGCTTCTTTGTTTTTTACAATCGACGAGCACACTGCAAAATCTCTATTCTAATTAATAAGCTCTTCCTCGTGCAATCAAATAGATTATATAGATGAAATAGATTATATAGATTTAAATTAGACAAAGAGAACGAATCTCACGATTCTACATTTCGTGAATTTAAATTGAACCAACGAATTTCACGGCTTTAGTTTAGACGAACGAACACCGTTCTTTCAATACGCAATTAGAAACCATGAGAATGAAAGGCGAGAAGAAAGAGAAAGAGAGAGGGAGAGAAAAAGAAAAGAATAGAAGGCTATACTCATTGACGTTGAAGCACTTAATGGTGTGCGCGACTTCTTTGTAAGCGTGGTACCATCATTACATCTTTGATGATCTTGATGAGGTAATCGGCGTCCATCATCTTTCACAGGCATTTCCTGTATCTATCGACCTGGCCGACGAATACTTATTTGTATTCGTGGCGCGATCAACAATGCGTCGCCTTCCTCTTCGAAAAATTTCGTCGATTCTTTCTCTCTCTTCTTCTTCTTCTCCTTTCTTTCTTCGGAGATTGCGTGGAACGGAAGAGATTACGTCGAATACGAAATCGCTGGTCTCGCCACGCGAGACGAACACGCGTCCGTCATACGCTCTTTCGTGACGTGTAGGAAATAATTAACGTACGTGTGATGCACGGATAATAAGGCGACGGGTATAGTACTTGAATTGGCTCGCAATTAAATTTATTGCGACGACGCGCCACATCGCCGTACATCCGGTGTAATTATATTCGTCGCGGACACTTTTATACATAAATATTTGAAGAATTGAATCTTAACTGTTGCAGTCTCTATTTTTTGTCGAAATTACGTAATGCAAATAAAAATCAGTTTTCGATCATAATTAAAGAAATATTTCCGATAGATATATCTTCTGAATAACCGACGCGAATGCAATTTTTTCGCCCCAAAAGTGAGGGGGAGCAATCGATTCGCTTTCTATCATCAAGGTGATTTCGGCGATATTGGCAATATTGGCAACGCGGTTACGAAAAGACGGCCGGCTTCGCAAGAATGTGGCAGTTGCAGCCAGTTGCAATTGCGTCGCCAAACGCGAACTCGCGCCGAGCCCACCGTAAAAATTGGATCGTTTTGCCGCCTCCCGCCCGTTCACTGTCCTCCGTTACTACGCCTCGTTGTTCCTGTCTTTGTCGCCGTCTTTCCCTCTCGATTCTACCGCGCCGACAACGCATTCCGGTTTGCCGCAACCCGACAGTTTCCACGAGGCGTACGACAAGCGCAATCTCCGCTTTCAGAGAGCGAATAAGCGAATCTCGCAGAAATTTTCATTTAATATGACTTGCGAATAATTTATAAACCTCGTGAATTTTTTAATTAATTAAATATTTTCTTTTTACGATTCGTGCCAATTTTTTGCACATCATTAAATATTGATTTCACGATTATTTTCATAATTTTTCATCGATATATTCAAAGAGATTCATAATTAAATGCAAAAATAAAATTAAATATCTTTGGCGAGATGCCTTTCCATTGAATTTGTTGCTGAAACGATCGATGATAGTCGTGCAGAATAGGCTAGACTGCAAAAGTGATTGCTTTTGTTACAGTGATTACGGTTAACTCAAGCGTTAATGATCGCCAATCCAATCGCAACAATCCGATGACCGTAAATACTGTGTCGTTTGTCTCCAATTTCATGTATATACACCTACGCGCAAGCGTAGGCTAGTCTAGTGTTTCATTCGCGACGTATTTGATCGTTTCGGCGACGCAAAGATGGAACTCGCATCACGAAATGTCAATTTACTCTATTTTCGCATAAAGTATAAACGTTTCAAATCTGAATTCACGATTCGAGAGTAAATTTAGACAATATTATATACAAATGCAAATCTAATATTTGAGTTGAAGTAGAGTTTACCCGAGTATAATTTCATTTTCAATTGTCTGTCTATCTTTAATATTTTATTTATCCTATGCAATAAAAGTCGATGCGAAAAAGGCTATAGTTTGTTCTCCATATATAATACGGAGTGAGAAACCGAACGTACATGGAGAAATCGTACGCGCGACATAACGAGCGTGAGGGGCGCGCATCCTGTCATTAGTTCCATAACGTTCGCCTTATTTGGTGCATTCGGTTCAATGTCACTCGTCCCTCTCCTTCCTGCCGATTCTCTCGCGGTAGCCCTGATGTAAAATGTCCATCGGTAACGTGCCCGTTCCTCCCCGCACCCCATATTCCGGCTCCTCTTCCCATTAACGCGATTATAGCTGTTGTCCTTTTGTCTCGCGATCCACGATCGAGGTCCATTCATGCGTTTGTCCCATTCAAACGAGCTGTCACGATGACAGCTCGTCTTCATGTCCGTTCATCTAACTGAAAGATTGCGCGTCTCAATGTTTTCTCACAGTGTAGATCTGAGCGAGCATTATTAGATATAAAAGAATCGATCGTTAGAAAGAAAGATTATAATACTCACGGTTATTTTTAATTCCAATTGTTATATAATAATATATAATTATATAATTAGGAGAGGGAAAATAACTCTTATAATTTTTATCACAAAAAAAATTAGAAAACGCGTTAATTTCGTAACTTTAAATAATATACATATTAAATAAAGTGAGTTCATGTAGATATTAAAAGTCACATAATCATTTAACGATTTTTATTTGCACGTATCTTGAAATCATAAATTTAATTAAAAAAAGATAATCTTCAGCTTAGTGATTATTCTCTTTCCTTTATCACGCAATAATTATATTTTAAAATATTTCGAGAAATCATCAAAAATTTGCTTTAATAGAACTTTGATTTTAATAAAATTAATTCAACCAAATTATCTCAATCTTACAAATATATTATTAATTTACCAATCAAATTCAATATTTTTTTGCAGATATCACGATGATAAAATTCGCCGTGGCAACGATGGTATGCCTCTTGGGGCTGAAGATGATCGCCGCCATGCCAGTGGCCGATCACCACGAGGGCCACGTACCGCTGCCGGTCGTGCCTCTCGAGACTACCGAGGAGAAGGCCCCGACGGAGCCTGCTTTGAAAACGGTGGATGCACCTGCGGAATCTGCGATAGCTGCTAGCCAGCCAGAGCCAGCACCGGCCGAGCCGGCCGCGGTCGACGCGCCTGCTGCGAAGAGCAGCGAGGAGATCCAACCAGCTGAGGCGAAGAAGGACGAGCCGGCACAGCCAGAGCAGCCGAAAGCTGAGGAAGCTCAGGCACAACCCAAGTCATCCGAAGAGCAAATCGAATCCGCAGAAAAAGAGGAGCCGAAAGTGTTGGCTACTGCTGAGGCCGAGAAAAAGCAGGAGGAAGAATCCTTGAAGGAGGCCGCTTCCGAGGCCCAGGAATCGGTGCAGCCTGCGCCGCAGTCCGCACAACAATCGGCCGAGAATCCAGCCGAGAAGAAAGCAGTGAGTTCTTTTCTAACTTTCAATGATCAAATAGTTTATTTTGATCCAACGAGAATTGTCTCGTTTTTCTAATCGCTTTTTACACCAAGATAAATTTCATATTCTGATCTTACGTTAATGTTGCGTTTTCTAGGAGGAACAAATAGCCAGTGAAGCTAAGAGTGTGGAACCGGCGGAACCTGCGGCTGAGAAGCCTGCGATTGCGGCCATCGAGAAGCGCGCCGACGATGCCATTGCCAAGGAAGAACCGAAAGAGGAACAGAAGGAAGAACCAGTGACGCAGTCAATCCCGAAGAAAGAGGAGGCGGAAATTCCCGCGCCCGCTGCTACCGAGGAGAAAAAGGTCGAGACAGCTGAACAGCCGAAAGAAGCTACCCTCCACTCGCTCGCCCATGCCAAGATCGACGAGAAGCCCGATCGAGTAATCCGCGAGGCTGAAGAAGCCGCCGCGCCTGCCTCCGCAGCTGCCCCGGCCGCTCCCGCTGTTCCCGCCACCCAGGAGGTCCAGGAATCGGCCCAGCCACAGGAGAAATCTGCACCTGTCGAAACACCCGAGCAGATAACTACAACAAATGTTGCATCGTCCGAAGAACCGAAACTCGCCAAAAGGAGCGAGAATGTCGAGAAAAGCGAGCAAGTAGAGACGGTTCCTGCCGAACAACCAGCTGTCAAAGCTCAGACACCGAGCGAGGAAAAGATAGCCGAAGAGAAGGAGTCTGAGAAAGAAGCGAAGAGCGCCGAGGCCCCGGTCCAACAAGTAGAGGCGGCCAGTGAACAACAACCGGCGCAGCCTCAGGAGTCCAGTCAGATTAAGCGAGACACAGTGGAAGCAGCCGAACAGCCTCAGGCCAAGTCGGAGATTTCTGCTAACGAGTCGCAACCGACCCAACAGCCTGCTCAACAGCCACAGGAAGGTGCCAAAGAGGCGAAGGAACGTTCCAACGAATCCTCCGAAGAGAAGCCCAGCGAGGAGACCAAGAGCAGCGAGGAATCCTCCGAGGAAAAGGAAAACAAGCCCAAAATTGCGGAATTGCTCCCGAAACCCGAGCAATAAATTTTAGCGCGAGGAGGGTTTGACGAGTAACCTCAGCAGCGCGGCAGCAATAGTAGCAGCAGCAGCAGCACCATCTCGAGGAATAGGAGGATTGCTCCTCTTAAGGATCGGGTCGAGCTCATGCATTGACGTTTCTCCGAGACCCATGCACGAGTTCGTCGCGATGCAACAGTGAAAGCAAGCGACAGAGAGAATGCATGTGTGTGTGTATGTGTATCTGAAAACGAGCAAGAGCGCAAGAATGCAATCGTCGAAATGTCAAAATAAGAAGCATGTAACGATGAGCCCAGAAAATGTGAAAGTATCGCACAGTGTGAATGAGAGAAAGAGAGAGAGAGAGAGAACGAGAAAGCGCGAAAGAACGACCCCACCAACCCGATCAATCTTTCTAGGGTAGGGTTGTCCGATCTTCACGGCGCATTACGATCTCGGTAGCGCATCTCCGGGGACACGGGACGATCGCGTGTTGCCGGATACTATCGGCGGCATCAGCGAACGATCACTCGTATCGATTGATATTTAATCGATACGCACGTGATCGCACGCTCGATCTCGGTAATTCCGATAGCAGACGGAGAACACACGATGATCCTTTTTCCCTCAACTCCGGAATGCGGCTCGGCCTGGGTCCGAGCAGTATTCCTGTTTGTCCTGGCGGACACCGCAATCTGTCCGCGAGGACGAACTCAGGGCCCCTCCCCAATCGATATCTCTCATTTCCTTATGAAATCCCTTATATCCCATCTGAAAGTGACACGCACCTCTATACATCCCCATTCCGATAAACTATATAGTAAGTAGCTCGACTCTGTCTTCTTTTTAGAGATTACATGTGTCATTATTATTATTATTATTATTACGATTTAGTACCAATACTACTATTATTATTAATATTATTATTTGTATTATTGCTATCATCATCGTTATAATAATAATTATTATTATTACTATGAAATCCCGATGGTCTCATATTTCATTGCTATTTACTAATCACTTATAATTGTTCGAGTTGGATCATACTGTATTTTATCGTGCGAAACTTATTAGAATAGAATTGAGAGAAAAATATCTCTATAACAATAGGTCACGATCAATTCTTATATACACGCACTATCTTTCGGTTCATTTAAATATCTCTACTTTATCGAAACATTTTATAGAGAGTAAATAATTTTTGAAGTAAATAATTTCCCTACGATTTATCGCATCTATTAAGATTTATTAAGATGTATAAGATGTTGCAAAAATATTATACTAAATATTATATTAAATACGCAAATTTTTAAGCAAAAATAATGATCTTTTTTGAAAATCATACAATCATATATTTTGTTTTCTTCAATAGTTTCACTGTACTAACGTACATTTACTATATACGTATCATATAGTAACATATATATCTAAAAAAATTAATGTAAATGTCTTTTAAAATTTTTAGATTTTAATTATTTCACAGTTTGCGTCTATTAACACATAGCCTTGTTCAACAAGCATATTTTGACAAGGGCTATTATTAGATATCGGAAGATATATGAAATATAGTCCGTGAATGATACTTGCAAAGAAATCAATATGTATGTATACGCCTCGAGAAATACGAGGAGTAAACTCGCCGATAAATCCCACAATTTGCGCAGCTCGCAAATCTGCGTTACGACATGAGGTCGTCACGATAAGACGTAGTAGCGGTCGTGTGATCTGTCAATCGCAACGTGTCGCGCTTCAACATCGTAGAAACGACGAGGACCCGACACGCGTTAATCAGTTAATAACAAGTGAGTCACAAAGTAACACGTTCTCTCAATAGCGTGCGCAAAATATATGTACATATATATTGCATGTGTGTGTACCCACCGTGTTAGATATGATAATCGGGGGCTTCCGCCAGCCGATAAACAACTTCTCTCAACATGAAATAACAGGGTACGCACCGAGCATGCATCGCCAACGGATTGAGTAAAATGATTATGCTCTTTCCCCTTAGCTTACAACCCTTGACTGTTTATCCTGCCTACAAATCGTTTACATACGCAACAAGATCTAATCTCACGACATTTCAGGATCTCACGTTCGTGGCCTATCTACTCGAAAGTTCAGTTTCTCATAAAATAATAAGATTCGGGAATTTTTTATCAAAAACGTACGTGCAAAATATATAGATAAAATGAGGAAATTCTTGCGAGTAAAAATTATAAACGTGTGGAATTAATTATTAATTACGAAAATGTTTATATTAAATTTTCGGTAGAATTCAATCGATAACAATATTTACGTTTCTCTTTTCAGACAAATAAAGAAATTAGTTTGCATTGATTAAGTGGAGTGTATGCATATCACAAATGAAGATATAAAATTGAAAGAAAATATTTATATTTTGTGATATTTTCGAAAAAATAATTAAAACATCTGTCCATCGCCGACTTAGAATTAAGGAATTATAAAGATTTTCATAATGTATTTATAGTGCAGAAAACTCCGGCAAAGATCCGTCTATCAAAAGACAGATAAATTCACAGATTTACGCTGTCATAGCCAACACCTACCTTTCTATTCTCGCGCTAATGCAACTCCATAACGAATTGACTATCGATGGAGAATGCACTTGCACAAGATCCCCATAGGAGTCTCGCAATTGTTCGCGAATGTCGCATCCACATGCGGCACGCCGACATTTCTCATCAATGCAGCAAATTAATCAAAGGGCGAGCGAGCAGCGCACGATGATGCACCAGGTGTAAACAACGGTGCGATTCATAAGGTGAGCGGACTCGGTGAAATGTCAAGGTGTGAAAGAGAAAGAGAAAGAGTTTTGCAACACGCGACGCAATGCGAGATTATTTCGTTTCATTGTATGGTCCCCTGTGTACTCTTCGCGCATTTAACATTAAACGCGACTATTCTCGTGGAACTTTGAAATAAATCTCGAATTAAATAACGAAGACTGACATCCAAGCTGTTTGGTTTGTCTTATTTAAAAGCACGCGTGTTTCTTTACTATTAAATAAATTACGACTTTTCCATCTTAAATATTATTATATAGTAACTAATCGTTGCAGTTAATAAGTTTTATTAATTAAGATAAATCTGCATGAAATAAAGTCAAAATCGAATAGTGCAAATTAATTTTTACGTTTTCTCTTTTAGAGACTTAGTCTTTTTAAATTTAATGAATGTTATAAAAAAATAATCCTACGAGAAACGAAGGATAATTCTGGATATCAGTAACTGTACTTGTAGGAGAAACGCAGTCAACTGCCTCCGTGGCGCAATCGGCTAGCGCGTTCGGCTGTTAACCGAAAGGTTGGTGGTTCGAGCCCACCCGGGGGCGTTATTTTTTTGCAATTGCTGAATACTAACGCGATGATCATATTTGTATAGTTAAGGTTAGCGTTATTAAATTCCAGATATGTATATCTAAGTATCAATGCAAACTAATTTTATGATTTATGAACTCGAACACAATAAATATAAAAGCAAAAAGTAATTATTATATATCGACTATATTTTAAAATAAATGTAATAAAATGTATATTTTAAAATAAATGTAATAAAAAATAATTACTAAATTAAATAATTATTAATGTAATTTTTAATAAAACGAGAAAAAAAAATTGGCTTTTGACCCCGACGTGATTTGAACACGCAACCTTCTGATCTGGAGTCAGACGCGCTACCGTTGCGCCACGGAGTCCTGTGATGTTGTGGGCTTCTAATACAATGTTACTCTAGTGCGTACTCTTAGTGAAGTATCATAATGAAAATGTTGAGTTACAGTTATATAGCAAAATATATAATTTATACTTAAAATTTATTTCTTACCTCATTTGTAAGTAAAAAACAGGTTAACACACCCAGTGACCACCAATCAACCTCTTGTCCGTAATATTCTTTTCTTAAGATTTCAGGTGCTGAAAAGTTAATTTGCATAAAAATATAATGAATATAAATATACAATATTTAAAATTATTAATCATTTTTTTAACAAATTGCATGTAAGAAAACTCGCGAATATACTTTTATATCTTTAATCTAAAATTTTCTTACCCATATAGAGGGGTGTTCCACATAATGTATTTGTACGTTCTGTGCGTTGCAACCATTTGGCAAAACCAAAATCAATTATCACAGCATGGCCATCTTCATCAAGCAAAACGTTTGTTGTTTTCAGATCTCTGTGTACTACACCAGCGTTGTGTAGAAAATCTATACAAGATATATACATGTTTTTAAATATAGATGTTAATAATGCATTAGCAATAATGTATCATTGAAATTATTCTTACCTATAGCTAAAGCAATTTCAGCTACATATATCCTAACTACTTCTTCGGATAAACAACCAAACTCCTCGACTAGTGAAAGTAATTCTCCCCCAGAAATGTAATCCATCACTGTAACATTATTTATTTTTGTCAATTTATCTTAGTCTGTACTTAAATAATTATGTTAAAACTTCAATGCTAGTAATAGAAATATGTACATACATATATACAAAGTTTTTCTGCTTTGCCATCTATGGATAGAATTCACTATGAAAGGATGATGTCCAACCATTCTTTGTATCGCTACCTAAGTATAAAATATCAAATTTCTCAAATGGCATATTTATCAAAATAATTGCTAATTTAGACATGTATACATACCTCTTCTTTGGCTTGCTTGACACAATTTTCTGCTATAATCTTAGCTTTGTTAATGACTTTCAGTGCAAAGACTTGACCAGTCTCTTGCTTCTGTACTTTATATACTTTTCCATAAGTGCCTTTGGCTATTATATCTAAGAAAGTATATCCTGTCTTCATGGGTATCTCTTTAATTGAGAATTCTGGGAGGAAGATTGACTGAAAACGTGGAACTGGCCATACTGTTTTGGAAGATGCATAAATATTATGTAGATTGCCATTGGTCCAACTGAAAATAACAAGTACAAATTTAGTTTGATTACTCAGCCATAATATTTAAGATAAAAATCTATTATTAAAGATCAACTATTATCTAACATATTAAATATATTCACCTTCTGTGAGAAGCACGAGATAATGATCTTTGTTCCTCATTAGAAACCTGTGTTGTTGTGACGCAGCTTCCGCTAAGTAAATTACTAAGGCTGTACTGTAAATTAATATCATTATCGTTAGTACATGAGACACATATATTTAACTATAATATAGCGTGTATATGTATATATATTGAACTAATAATATATATAGCAAAAGAAATATATATATATGATAGAGAAAATACATTTTTAATGATATAAATAATTTTGTTGCAGGTTAGGAATATATATTTGAAGAAACACACCTGACTATCATATTGCTGATAATTATGATAGTTTTCCTTGGCGTTAGAATTGCCCATCCAGTGCTCCAAATGATCGTCGATTCTCTCAAACGAACGGATGACAATTCGAAAACAGCGCTTTTAGAAACGTCATTTCGCTGTCAAGTTATTTGAAGTTCAAATATCGGATATATCGCTAATTCATTTGTATACATGTTACGTTCTCGTCATTAACATGCAATGATGCATACAAAATTGCAACAATCGCCGTCGCGAGTTTATTTTAATGGATTAAAATTAACAATTATAAGTTTCGAAAAATTAAATTATTGTATTAGAATTATTCGATATTATAAATAAATAGTAAATAAAAAATTGTTGTAAATTTCTTACAATGAACGTAAATTAACAAAACACTATTATATGATGAATAATTACACATCATGGAAGAATTTCGCACGCAAAGATACGTGGATTGTTCGCAATTTTTGCAAAATCGACAGACGTATATGACAAGATTATAAAACATACGTTACCTCAGATAAGAATTCGTGGGACGCACTTAGAAGGGACCTCTTGTTAAGGGTGTGTCTAATTGCGAAGAAAAAGTACAGCGTATTTCACGAACAATAAGTGCGCGCCATTTGAATTTATACAAGGACGTTGAAATTTAAACAGTAGATGACGTCGCGTGAAATATGATTGGCTGGCCGATATCGCGCCAACAGCGTTATCTCCCGAGTGGCAAAATAAATTGCCGAATGTCGAGCGGGTAACCCTCCGTCGATCCCTGATTCAGGATTCCGTTGTTATCGTCAGAGAGAAGACTGACAGATGTCATGGCCCGCTTTTAGGTGATCCCTGGAAGCGATACTTCCTCTGAACAGGCATTTTGTAAATAAAAATATATAAGTATGGCAATGAATATAGAAAAATATTTATTTCAGCTTTGAACATTACATTGGAAGATCACAGTATCTTTCGCGATTGAATAATTTATTTACTATCAATTTATATATCTAAGTGTCTTGTTATACCCTGGTGCTACCGGCATTTCGTGCATAGCACGGAACGAAACCAGAAATTGTGCACATTATATATTACCCTCTGAGAACATTCATGGAAATTGGCTTGATAGTTCATGTCCACGTTTTCAATGTTCATAGAGGGCGTCGCTTTCAGGAATCACCTAAAAGCAGACCATGACATCTCAGTCTTCTCTTTGTTATCGTACTCGCGCGATGCCGTGACATTAGCGTGTTCGCGATCATCATCCGTCCACGTGACGCTAGCTGCTGCTGCTGCTGCTCCGATTCGTGCGTGTGGAGTGTGTGGTGCGGGACCAACCGAGCGATTGATCCCGCGCGGGTGTCAAAAAATTGTTGGTCTCCATAGGCGCAATTTTGTATGCCATCCGCGATCGCGACAGTCCTCAGTCCGAGAGATACGTGCATGTTAGTCCGCGTTTGGCGCGCGATCTAACTATGATCAAATTATTCTCGTTGAAGCAGGCAAAAAAAGATGGCGAGTCACCCAAGGCTGGCACCCAGAAGAAGGCGTCCGCGGCGCAGCTGAGAATCACGAAAGGTTCGGGATTGTTTAGCGACGCGACCATGCCGCTACGTCTCTCATCTCTGGCGTTCCTTTTTCAGACATAAACGAACTCAATCTTCCAAAAACATGCGGTACGGAATTTCCGGATCCCGATGATCTGCTAAGCTTTAAGTTAATCATCTGTCCGGATGAAGTGAGTACACGTGTATTGTCCGAAGGGTTTCGGAGATTCCTTACGATATTGGATCGAATACTGACTCTTGCCTTCTCAAAACTATAAATGATTCATTTGTGACATCAACAATTGAATTCTTATCAAGATTGATGGTGATTCTCCTTATGCCTCAATCAATTGATTGTTTCAGGGATTTTATAGAGGTGGTAGATTTGTGTTTAGTTTCAAAGTCGGACCCAATTATCCGCATGAACCACCAAAAGTGAAATGCGAAACTCAAGTTTATCATCCTAATATTGACCTGGATGGTAATGTGTGCCTCAATATTTTGAGAGAGGATTGGAAGCCCGTACTCACGATCAATTCTATTGTCTATGGTCTCCAATATCTTTTCCTAGTATGTTTTTTCTATTAATATATCTTGCTAAAATTACAATATACTTTATATATATGAAGTATATCTCTATTATTTATATGTCATATTAAAACTTATATTACACACATACATATATATATATATATATATATATATATATATATATATAAATACAATATAAATTTATAAGTTTCTTTTAAAATATAAAGATATAATTTCTTATTTTTCGCATGATCTCATGTATTCATATATATAGTTATATCTTGAAAGAAACACATAACACATTACACATAAAATTCATACATACACACACATGTGTATGTATGTGAAAGTTTTTTTTAAGATCATATAATAATATAATCTTTTATTTTTAGTATGATAATATTTTTAATATCTTTAATTGTTGTTAATTACTTTACATTAATTATTTTACATTTAAATTGATAAATAAATGTAATAACAGGAACCAAATCCTGAGGATCCATTAAATAAAGATGCTGCTGAGGTTCTACAGAACAATAGAAGGGCGTTTGAACAAAATGTAGCAAAAGCAATGCGGGGTGGTTATGTAGGATCATATTATTTTGAACGATGTCTTAAGTGATACAGTGCCTCGTCATCAATGCTGTACATGCTTCACCGAGGACTCGCTGTAGGTGAAAAAATCCTAAAATATGGAATGGATACAGAACTACACGGTGTCCTCATTGTCATTTGTGTGACAACATTAACATATTTACTTTCCTTATGTCTTGCCAGGCCTATATACATTTAATCGGACGAATACTTTCTGTTAATAAACCTAAAGTGAAAGATGCATTCATTTTGCTTTCAATAATTATCAAAATGTTTATCGGCCATGGCATTATTTTAGTGAATTTGAAGTGCAGTGTTGAAGGGATTGTAAAAATATAGTTTGACATTTGGCAGATGATAGATGATAGATGTTACAATGCAAAATATTTAATTGTATTAGATACACACAGTAATTCTGAAGCTCCAAAATTCGGAATTTTCCAGATCCTAAATTTTTAATTCCATTTTGTTTTTATAGGTATCTTAATTTATAAAAAATATTTATTTTCCGAAATATATATAGCTTCCATTTTCATTCTAACTTTTTTCACTGCAGCATCTATCAAAATCTGCTCCTCATTTAAATATATGTACAAGTAATTTAACTTATGTATTGACTGAGAGTGGAATATAAGGCTGTTACGGAACTGGAAATGTTTTGTTTGGATTTCCACAAGCAGTATATTTTATTATCCAACAAAAAAATTGGATTGAATCTTTTTCTTACATAAAAATGAGGATCAATGTTTTTATTAAAACAAGTTTGAATTTATTTCACACAAAGAGAGGAGGATTGATTTTCTTTGCCCTATATATAAGTACAAATTTTATAGCAATTGCTAACAATTATGAGATACAATACAATTATGAAATTTTTTATGCTACAAAATTTAATTTATTATTATACTTTATCATTACTAGAAACATTGGAAAGTGTATTTTGAATGTCACGCTTGTACAGTTTATGTAAAATAATTGAGCATATTTCAATGTAATTTTAAAAAATTGTGATACATGCAAGAATCACAAACATAACAAAGTGTGTTAAAATTGCTACCAATTCTTCTCTTTCTCCTGTCTGTTGTATTGATGTATAAATCAAAATATTTAGCTAATATCTTATATATCCTTCTAATGAATCTATATACATTTTTTGGAGTTCACAATAGTAACTAATTGCTGAAAGTCAGAAGAATAGATTACTATAGGACAGAAGAGCTATATTTATACAAAAAATTCTTTTTACATATATCAAAATTAATGATAGATTTGCTATCTTTTTGAAAAATTTTTTATTTTGAAAAAATCAATGATTTACAATTGTGAATTCCAAATTATTGCGCACGATTGCGTATATTTTATTGTTTACTAAATATATTTGGATTAAATAAATGTAAGAGAGAAAGCTAAATGCTTAAATTCACAAATATATTGTAAACTCCAGAAATAAAGGTTTTGGATAAATAAATAAATGACAAATATGCATACATACACATATATATATATATATATATATATATATATATATATATATCAATATACATATATAGACATATATATATATATATATATGTGTGTGTATATGGATGTATGCATGTATATATATATATATTGAAACTACATCTTCAGTTTAATAGCGAAGTTTCTACAAACTTCTGTGTATTAAAGCATCAATATATCAATTGTATCTTACCTCTTATCGATTTATACAATATGAAGACTTAAGCGTATATGTGATTTTGTCGTAAAATTCATTGCTGCTACATGATTATTTATAATAATCATTATATAAAAATTGCGATAGAATGTGTGCAGTAAATATTTATTACAAAGAAGATGCGATTCATATCCTATAAAGAGCAAAGGAACATTTTTTTCGTCTTCTCTATCAGTTATTATTAATTTATTATACTTTAGTACACAGTATACTTATAGAACTTATAAACTAGAGAAGTGTCCTGGCCTCACTCCGACCTACAGCTTACTCTGCTGTATTCTTTAATTTAGGTCCCGTCTGCATTAAATATCTCAAGGCACTTTTTTAAATATTCTTTGAGAAAAATTGACTTAATCAATTAACTTTTTCTCATTACATGCACAAAGATTTTAACCAATAATAACAAATAATAGTTCAATCACAATATGAAGAGTGATGGCATCTTTATTTGAGCGCGTCGTATCATTCATGAAGTAGATACGATAAGATTAGAAATTGGTTACACTTTATATATATTTCTAGATATAAACGTTGCAAGAAATCAATATCTGTAATCCAAGTAAAATTAAAAGCAGAGTACTGCAAAATAAAAATTGGTAAAGATACAAGGAATGCACAATTTAAGTATTATTGTTAGAAAATTGATTCTTTTTAATATATCTTGTGTATATCTACAGAACTTTTTTTATTTATAATTTAAACATCTCTTAGTAAACAATTCAATTTTACTGCATAATATATAATCAGCCATGTAACTTTCTGATATTTACAATTTAAAATCATCTTTTGTTACATAAAATATTTCCAGCCTTTTAAAATTTAAAAAACAGAGACACATGCACTTTATGTATAGTATAAATATTTTAAAAATATTGAGTATTATAAACATACATTTTTCTCTATTTTTTGTCCTATTTTATATTGTTAAATTTGAACACTAATATTTATTATAAACAAATAAAATCTAATCATGTACAGTAATTCTATGCTTGGAGCATATTAAGAGATTGTAAAGTTAGTTTATTTTGATTTTCAATAAGAATATTTTCTTATTGAATCCTATATATTAAATTCTTTATAAAATTGCAGCTAAAATTTTATTGAAGTTATTAAATAATGATAATTCTCTATATGTTTTATATATATATGCGATTTTTTGAACATACTGATTATTAACATAATCATATTCTTGTTATATCTTTGCATGCACCCTGTATATAGGATCTTCATATAGGTCCAGGAAATCAGAAAAAAAAATTTATGTTACATGTAATTAAAATTATTGCACATTTCTTGCAGTTTTATGTGTGAAACAGCTAAGATCATATATTCGACAAAAAAAAATAAAAGTCTGGTGTATATACACACGCGCGCGCGCGCGCATGTGTGTGTGTGTAAGTGTAAGTATAAATATATATCATGTACATATATCATGTATATTTATATATAAATATATAAATGTATACAGAATATGTATTTAATATATATTTATATAATATTTAATAATATTTATAAAGGTATATATTTTTTTCTCAACAAAATATTGATGAAAAGCATGTAGTTTTACTAATCCAATAATATTTTAGTAAAAAATTTGAAAATATAGATCACGACTTGTACTCTGAAGCAATGTAATTGATGCATGTATTTTCTTGCATCCTGATATAAAAAGCACTTGTGCAGTAATCATTTCATTAACCACAGCACAGAACACCTCTTCTTTGTACGCCTTTATCATTTTGGGCTCTGATATTTATAGTTTATTTCTGGTTGGAGTTCGTTTTATATAATTACAATACACACTTTATGTGAAAGGAAGAGCTATATTTTTAAATTTATTTATGTTCTCTTAATCCCTTTTAAATGGTGTACTGTAATTATATTCCACAAGATCTATGATTGCAAAGACTTTGTTACATAGTTATAGAATCTATTTAAATTATTTTTGCTAAGCCAGACAGCTAAAAGCCAATTTGATGCAGCACCATCTTTCAGGATATATCAGATAAAATATGTGATGTAAAATTATCTTTTTCAAAATAAAGTAAGCTGTGCTGGGATTTACATAAAGTAATAGCTGTGCACAGAATGTTTGGCCATATATATATATATATATAATAAAATGTACATTTAAACAAAAACTTGAAAAAACAGTATTTATTTAAAAATCTAAATTATTTTTATCTATATTTTGCTGATAGATAACATAATTTTGAGATTATTTTTTTTAATCTTGACAATTTACACTTTCCTTTTTGCTGTGGAATAATAATTCGCAAGTAGATCTAAAACTGTATTGCATAACACTTTACTGAATTAATTAATCATTTATAATATCAAATATAGCTTATACACATACCCAAAGTTTTTTGATATATTTATACCAACAATTTTTAACACAATATCTATATAATTATATAACCTAGGCGATTTTGTTTTTCTAAAACAATTTTAGACTAAGACATGCGATTTGAAGTTATTAAATATACATTTTATATACGAAGAGTATGTATCTAGCAAGCCATGCTAGAATCTTTTGCAACTCAAAAATTTACTTCAAAATAAAAAATATATAATAATAATTTAATATTATGAATATATTGATTATTATAAGTAATAATTTATGAAACAATAATTACATCAAGAATTTTCAAGAAAATATAGCTTGCTGGATATAATACTTCGATTGAGTCAAATCATATGAGTAAAATTTATAATTTGTATAAAAGAGAATGTACATACATATTTTTCTTTTGTATGACCATAACATTTTTCTGTCTTATAACCACTACAAGGCAAATTTGCTGTCTCGACTAATGAAACAACAGTATGCACAAGACTGATCTCATGGAGATAAAGTGTTAATGTCATTGTATTAAAGTAAGACTTTGTTGAATTGCTTTAGTAATGTACAATTAGTTTACACAAAAATAGGAAATATGAAATGCGTAATGTTTTAGAAATAATCATATAGTAATGATTGCTACAAATGGCTGTTCCAGATTTTGTATAATTTGTTTACTTACTTAATCTAAAATTCAAATGTGATTATAAGTCTTTATCGACTTAAAGGTGTTCCACCAAAATTAAATGAGGTGGGCACAGTCTGTGAGTGAAAGGCATAACCTAAAAAATTAAAAAAAATATTTTTCATGAATTTAAATAAATAAAAAAATATACAGAAAAATAACATTCACTATAATTTTTACTTATGTAGCAAGCGATTATCTTTCTCAATTATAATTATTAAATAAGTTATTGAAAATAGAAATAAATTTACCTCCGCTCTGTTCGATTCTTTTACTCTCTAAAGCTGCTTTACGCTGATCTGCCAACAGGATAATTTCTTGCAGAGCCTTTTCTTGTTCAGGACTTAAAAGACTCGTTAACGCTCTGTACCAGGTCATGTCGGTTCTTTCAATATCTAATTCAGAATTTTAAAAAATACATGAAAAAAGATTATAATTGATATTTTTTATATAAAATTAATTTTATAAAAATTATTCTACAAATATTTACTTTGTATAACTTCTTTGAAAACTACATATTCATCTTGATTGGAATCGTCAGAATCTAGGGGCGTAATGTAGCTTTCGAGAGCGGTTTCTTCGTTGCCGTCATATTCTGAATCGTCATCATCAACATCAGATCTGTGATCACCATGACCATCTTGTATAGTTGCATTAACATTAAAACCGTGTTGAGTGGACGCTCGCGTTATTTTGTCCTGTAGTTTCTCGAGATATTCTTGATTAGCATCGTCTATTTCATCCTCATCAGAAGACAAAACTTCTGAAAATTATTGAATTAGTCAATTTAGTTAACTTTTTTTATATTATAATAAATTAGTATCAGAAATTAAAAATTATATATTTAGATACTTAAAAAAATTATATAATTAGATACTTAATATATATTAAACAAACTCTCTCTCTCTCTCTCTCCCCCCCCCTTACCTTCATCAATATCGCTTTCTTCTTCATCATTCTCGTCATCGTCTTCATCTGCAACCTTAGCAGCATATGCTCTCTTCAGACCTTCAAATAATAGGATTAAGGATGGTATTATTTGTGTCGCGCATTCGTTCACAGCGGCAGGTCGCGCAGGACCCATGCTGATTAAGGTACACAATCCAAGAACGCACAATTTACGATCGTGTAAACTGTAAGGAAATATGACACATCTCATTCTTCCAAGCTGTAGAAGTAAATCTAAATCTAAAATTTTACATATATCTTATAATCTATTTTTTTTAATTTTATGCGTTTTTAAAAAATATATACCCCAAGAAACAATCTGTATCACTAATCCATTGTTTGATAAAACGTGAAGCGAGCGGCTCTGCCGATTGATCAAAGTTTCCTTGCAATCTGTCCATTGTTTGCAGACACAGTGCAGGATTGTAATATAAAGCAGCAATAACTACTTGAAGACACATCGTTCGCAGCTCTGAAGTTTTAACTTCACGCATTAGACGCTCTAACACTAATTGTACGAGTGATGGTATACACTAAAATTGAGTCAATTATTCATATCATATTTCATAAATTAATAATTACGTTTATTTGTATGTAATTTCTAGTTTTTGATATTGTAACATTACCTGATCTATATGTCCTTTACATTGCAAAATTATGACTTCTAGCAGTTTGGCAGCATGACATTCAGGATCTTCACCACCTTCACTAGTCAAAACCTATGATATAGACAATAATGTCATATTTAGAAAGTAATTGACTTGGATTTTTTTTATAAAGAAAATCCTTTTTTTATACTTACAGCTTTACACATATTGAACATAGCCAAAATATGATTTTCATTTGATAAAAACGCTTGAGTATCGACAGTAATGTAATTATGCAGCGCAGGCATCATATCAGTGAAATAATCGAAACCATCCTTTTGGAAAAGCTGATACATGAGCTCCAGAACTTTCCACATGTCTTCAGATATATTTTTGCCCGTCAAGTCGTAAACAAGCGATAACGCTTCTTCATAAAATTCTAACAATGCAACAACAAAAATATTATTAAAATATTAAGAAACTGTGACTATTTTTTCTCTGTTTTAAAAAAATAAAATTTATCTATATATAGTATAATAATGAACGTTATCTATATATATATATATATATATATATATATATATATATATATATATATATATATAATAAAATCAAATAATTCCATTGCAAAAATACTTAATTAAAGTTTAACACTAATTGAAGACGAATAAACCGAAATATTTCAAAATATCATCAAACAAATATCAATGTTATTTTTTAATCGCAATGTTAATTTTAGATATTAATAAAAATTTAAATATACGAAAAAAAAACATACCCATTACACTTTGTCCAAAGATATGAGCTACTACTTGGAGAACAATTGGTTCAAGTTGTGACATAATTTGAGGATGCTCTTCCATTACTGTTAAAACTGTTTCTATTGTATTCAAGAGACCCATTGCTGTTATCGCCTTCTCGTCACTACCTTCATCTGTTTCGAGCACTTGGCTAAATGTAGCAGCCTGAAAAAAAAGATGTAACATAATATTCTACTTTATACATTCTTTAATAAGATTATACATTATCAAGTTTTTTACCAAGTGTTGACAAATTTCTACAGCAATTGGCATTAGTTGTTCAGTATATGTACAGACAATCTTTTGCATAACGCTTGTCAAATCATCATTTTCCGTTTGCCTTATAATAGTCAATAATTCAAGTGTAATTTGTTTTATTAACGGTTCGATATACTTCTGAGCCTTAGTCTGTGCCGCAAGCATCATTTGAAGTGCTATGGCTGCTTCAACTTTAACAGGCAAATCTTGATCATTAAGGAGAGCATTTGTAATCAGTCTAATTGCCTCGACTAAAATTTGTTCTGATTTAAATCTAATTTCTGAAAAATAATGCATCACCCAACAAGCCTGAAAATATAATTAACACATTTGTCACTATCATATCGCGTTTGTATTACATAATAGTGATAATAGTGATAATTTTACATTTATCATTTTACTTACTCTTGCTCGCATATGGCCATGAGGACTATTAAATTCGGGAAATACATATTGCAATAACATCTTATCCATTTGTTCTTTGTAAATTTTCTTCTTCAATAAAACATCAGCTAAACTTCCAATCTATATAAAATTCCATATATTACATTAATATATATAAATCGCATGTAAATATATAAATATAACAAAAATTGTATAGAGCATCCATAAAAAATCTAAGGAACACAAATATTTTTCTATAAACATACCATATGTAATGCACCATCTTTTTGTCTTGGATCTGCATTTGGACTAGTTAAAACTTCTAGACAAAATTGCATGGTTTTTTGAAGCATATCTTTTCGTTTTCTACATGCTGAATGCAATAAAGTTTGTGCTGCTGTTACGGGCGAAACAAAATCTTCGAAAATATCTGAAAGCAAACTAATAAATATACAAAGTTCTCTAAAACGGTTAAATTAAATGCTGTTAATTCGATTTTACCGAATTTCACTCTGATGTATTCATAGGGATCAGTGTTCCACAGTTCCTCATCGGCGGCGGAATATGAGAGAATAGGGAATAAAACATCACGTATAATTTCAAACATATGAGGCTTCAAAAATTTCCAAGAAAATGCGTGACTCACGCTGAAATTTCAAAAGATTATTATTATCACGTTAACCCTTTATGGCAAAACATAACCGTTTATCAATTCTTACCCTTGATTGATATAATTAATTGATTGCTGTACTACTCTAGGAGAGACATAGATTTTCCTACGATACTGATCCAAAATTTTTAAAAGAACTTCGAGAATACCAGCACTGAATGTTTGTAAATACCATTCAGCAAATTCTTGATATTCTTTGGTCACATTTCCTGGACTACCATATCTATAATTAGAATGTAATATCAGAATATAAACGTTTCTTCTCATTTTTAAACATTTAAACTTCATTATATAATGAACTTATATAATTACCTTTCAAACATTCTATGTAAAATATGTAACGCCCATTTTTTACATTTCCACCAAGGCAGTTCCGCGCGTTCGTCATCATCAAGATCTGCACTATTGATCTCTGGTGGTACTGGTCTGTCAGCTATTTGTCTTACTACATCCATCCATTGTGAAAATACTTCTCTTGAAATAAGATCAAGGGGAAGTGTGTACTGCAGAGAAAATAAAACACATATGTCAAAAATTTCAAAATATTCTAACAAATATTTTTTCTTATATCTTGATATTTCCTACATACCTGGGTGAGAGCAAAGAAAATTTTTAGTATCTGTTTCTGAAGTAGGACAGATTGTTCGGATGAATCAGGCAATAAGCGTAATATCAATTGATAGATCATAGGGAATAACAAGTTCATTGCTTCATTTAATGGTCCCCTCTCTTCTGCTTTCTTGTACCTAGTTATCAAAGTAGGGGACATATAAAACATATACTGCATGGGACATATGTACTATATATTAAAATATTGAAAGTGTACAGTTAAATATACATACTCAAAATTTTTAACAAGCTGATACAGTGCAAGGAGAACACCAGGCCAACACGAAGCATCTGGATTTTGAAGGTATATCGTAATTTTGTCCACTATTTGTGTCCATCTCCCAGGAAAGTCATATTTAACTATATTACTGATGCATACCGCTAATTGTACTCTAAATATATATAATGCAGGACAAAATATATATTATTATAATTACAATATGTATATATATTCTTAGTTAATGATATAAATGAAACATAATAACTTGCCTAATTATTTCTGGAGCATGTACCACTGCATCTACTATGGCATCGCGTATCATTGCACGATCTTGTTCATGAATGCTAAATTCTATGGGTCCACTATCGGCCTCTTTATCAGCCCAATTTGAAGTAATTAAATTTTTTAAGTAAATTACACCTATAAAACAAGAAAATATTGTGTGCATAATTTAAATTTTATTTTCAATATTTGTACATAGTGCAAAAAAATTACAAATTGTTATTTACCAGCCTGTCTAACAGGTACATCAACTTCATTTGACATTACTACCTGTAACAGCGTTGGAGCGAAACCAATGATTTTGTGAATCTGAAAAATTCAATATCATTTTATCCACTCATATGCTGCATGATTAAAATATTATTGCTACAACATTCTACAGGCTTGTAACAAATTTCAGCGTATATAAAGTATGTACAGCATATATGTTAAATACTAAATATATAAAAATAACATACATACAGTGACATACATGATATGAATGAGGAAATTATTATCCGAAAATTTTGATGATGTAATGGATTAGTACATAACTCAATATACGTTCGCGAGTACAAGTATAATTGTGGTAACTTCATTTTATTATTTTTTTGCTCCGAAAGATAAAATGTCTCTGAGATTATTCCTTTTGGACGCGAGTACATCGTACAAAAGAGATTAACGAACAAAAATACAGATATCAGTATCACTCGACGAAACCGAGCGAATCGTGGTTCATCTCAAACGCGAATACTCCGAAAATGAAACAAGCATGAATCATCTTCCTCGCGGTTTCTCCAATTCCTTTCATCGGCAGTCAAACACTTCGAATCGATAAAAATTGGAGTCTGTAAAAAAGAACAAAAAAAATAGAAAAAAGAATCCGAGAATGATTCTAGCGGCGAAAGATACATCCTCGTCGAGGATGTATCCTCTCATCTGTTACGTGCATGAGATATCCCGGTACGAGGATAAAGCGCGAGCCACATGTTCCCTCGAGGAGCCCCGAGACCTTCCTCCCCCTCCACCCGCTCTCACCCTGTGTCGCGAATCAAGGAGCACGTTTTCGCTCGTGATCACGGTCCTCCCGTGATTTTCACGCGTACCTGATTAAGCTGTCCCTCCGCCTCCTTTTGCTGTGCGGGGTCGATCGTCGCCCGCAGCAGCTCCGTGAGCTTTCGCGCATCCATCGCTCCGGGCCGCCTCAGCTCTCACCGTATTAATTAGACGCTTGAATTTTTGCAACCGATACCCCGTATTTGACCCGGCGCATTCACCTCAATGCTGCTCCTTGCCTGCCCGTGCGATCACGTGACAACATGGCGGCACAGATCAGCTTTGAATGGTCGCATCCGGTCGGAGGCAGAGCGTGTCAGATGCCATCTACGATCATGTGTCGAATATTACATTGGCCGCATTCAGCGGACTCAACCGCCAAGTAGCAATCGAACGTGATTGGTTTCTAGCTTCAGTTCCGGCCAATCAGCGTCCAATTACATAGGAAGATCTAGTAATGTTGCTCAACTGTTGAGTCCGCTGAATGCGGCCATTGAAAATGAACTCGGATAAATTGTCCTCAATTGCATTGAAGACCGAGATTGGAGATTGAAATTTGACCAATCGAAACAGAGAAAATTTTAGCTGCATTAAATGGTCAAATTTTATTGGTCAAATTTTCATTCCAACCTTCAATGCGAAGTAGCAGGAAAAGCTATGGTAAGTTGGTCAATCGTAAACTACGGATTCCTAATTATCCTATTACGGCCAAAATACAGCGAAAATTTCAATAGAATTACAGTATTCATAATCAACAGCATCGTCCACTGCGGGCTAAAAAGCGATATTTTTGAAAACAAAAGAAAATTGAAAAAAAAAATAAAGAAAATATATAACTAAAAGCAGTAAACTCTTATAACAGTAAGCCTAAAGCCATAATAATAAACAATTACAATATGAGAATAATTTATGGCATGCTGTATATACATTTTTCACATTTATATATAAATGTAAAAATATGTATATAAAGAATAAAAATGAAAAAAGGGAAACGCGAGGATTTCCGTAAGCATGAGAACCCGCCCAGCGTCGTGCTGCCGCACAGCAATGCATCGACAAACTAAATAATCGACGTCAAAAGCTGTCAAATATGGCGAGAGGCAGCGAGAGAGAGAAAGAGAGAGCGGATAATTGACATGTAAAAATGTGAATAGGCCTGACCGCACTGCGATCTGCGTTTCGAGAGGGTGGCTGGACCGACACGTTCGCGGTGTCTCGCGCGAACGACGAGATACGCCGACGACGATCGCGATGTCAGAGGGCTCGCCGGCGGCGCCTTCCGAGTGCCGGAAGTGAAGTGTGCGCGAGGGTGGCGGCGAGCAGGAGAGCAGCGGATCTGGTCGCCCCGTACGCAGCCGGGGTCGCCGAGGAGTACAGGCGAGGGGCATGGTACAATAAAACACGGCGGCCGATAGACTATGGGGGCCCAGCAGACCAAGGACAGGGTGATCCCCGCTGGGTCCACCGTGCGACAAACGCGCAAACAGCAAACCAGGAACCTCAAGGATACGCGCATCATAGGCTCTAACATATTCACCGAGCACAGTGGTGAGAACGCGCATTTTAACAATTAGCTGATCTGCTCCACTATGGGGACACGCTTATTTCTGTCACGCAGACTTTAACATAGTAGGATTTGTCCATCGAATGATTTTTTTTATACATCGCTATATTTTGCGTTAAATCATAGTTTTACAGTTCACGGAATACATTCCTGTATGTGAGATATGTTTTCTTAATTTGGTATGATATTGTAATATCTTTGTAGATTAAAATTGACGATAAAAAAGTAATCAAAAAGATTTTAGTTTTAAAAACTTCTTGACATACATATGCATTAATGTTTGCATTGGTAAATGTTTCTTAATTAATATGGTCATTAGAGATTGAATATAAATTTTACAATGAATAAGCATTTATCTGTAGAATGAATTGAAAATTTTTTAAATGTCCCAAACAAAATTCCATTGATTTATCATTCTCATGATGTATATTGAATATTTTAAATAAGTCTAAGATTTTCAAATATTTTATTATTAGATAAAAATTATATTTTGATTGCCAATGTCAGATATTTTTGTTTAAGGCATATATTGAAAGTTATAAGGAAAAATTTTATTATTTCTTGCAGAGGCACTTTTACAAAGTAGACCGCTGCCTCATATTCCAGCATTGCCAGAAGGTGATCCCCCAAGTGGTTCTAGTGTTCAATCAATTTCACAGCAAGCAAATGTTCAACAACACACCAGTGTGTCTGCTAGTGGACTTCTTGAAGCAGCAAATAGGTCAGTTCACTGTTCAAAGTCTGAAGCAACGTATGTCTATTTATATAGCAACTTATATAATTACAGTTTTATATACTTTTGCAATTTTAGTGTGGAAAGAGACCTTAAATTTTTTAAATATAACATCAAGAATATATTAAAATCCTCATGTATGAGTTATTCTTTAATATTATCATTTTTTCCATATATAAGATCTAGACTTTTAAACATAAAGATGGTAGATACATTGATTTAATACATCTCAATAAAAAATTATCTTTAATCCAAAAAATTTACATTAATCCTGCAGATAATATTTTTAATCATTTCATGCAGATGGACTAGCAAAGAAAATCTGTTGGCACAGGAGGAGGACGATCCTCAATTATTCGTCGCTTTGTATGATTTTCAAGCTGGTGGAGAGAATCAACTTAGTCTGAAAAAGGGTGATTTGTATTTCTTATTAAATATTATAAATCCCATATTTTATAAGATACATAAATGCTGATCTATGCATATTGCATATCTTGAATGTTTATTCTTTAATATTTCTAAATAGGTGAACAAGTACGTATCCTAAGTTATAATAAGAGCGGAGAATGGTGCGAAGCTCATTCGAGCACTGGACAAGTAGGATGGGTACCATCGAATTATGTAACACCCGTAAATTCTTTGGAAAAACATTCTTGGTACCATGGGAGGATATCTAGGAATGCTGCGGAATATCTATTGAGTTCGGGAATAAACGGTAGTTTCCTCGTACGAGAATCGGAAAGTAGTCCCGGACAACGTAGTATTTCTTTGAGATACGAGGGTCGAGTGTATCATTATAGAATCAATGAGGATAGTGAAGGAAAGATGTTTGTCACAACAGAGAGCAAATTTAATACACTGGCTGAACTGGTACATCATCATTCGATGCTTGCCGATGGCCTCATAACGCAACTGCTGTATCCCGCGCCAAAGCATAATAAGCCTACCGTCTTCCCGTTAAGTCCAGAACCGGACGAATGGGAAATCAATCGAACAGACATAGTAATGAGACATAAATTAGGAGGCGGTCAATATGGCGATGTTTACGAAGCCGTCTGGAAGAGATATAATATGACCGTAGCGGTTAAAACACTCAAGGAGGATACAATGGCACTGAAGGATTTCTTGGAGGAGGCAGCCATCATGAAGGAGATGAAACATAGAAATTTGGTGCAATTGCTGGGAGTGTGTACGCGTGAACCACCGTTCTACATCATCACGGAATTCATGAGCAAAGGAAATCTCCTTGATTATTTACGAAATGAGAGTAAACATCAGATTAATGCTGTAGTTTTGATGCATATGGCTACACAAATTGCAAGTGGCATGAGTTATTTAGAGAGTAGAAATTTCATCCATCGCGATCTGGCAGCCAGGAATTGCCTGGTCGGCGAGAATCATCTTGTTAAAGTCGCGGATTTTGGTTTAGCCCGTCTTATGAGAGATGACACATACACTGCTCATGCTGGTGCTAAATTTCCTATAAAGTGGACTGCGCCAGAAGGTTTAGCATATAATAAATTTTCCACAAAGGTATACAAAAATTCTTTAAAAATGTAGATTATATGTATTATTATATGTATTAGATTCATATCATACTAATTAGTGATTTTTATAGTCTGATGTGTGGGCATTCGGTATTCTTTTGTGGGAAATTGCTACTTATGGTATGTCCCCTTATCCTGGTGTCGATTTGACGGACGTTTATCATATGTTGGAGAAAGGCTATCGAATGGAGTGTCCTCCAGGCTGTCCGCCGAAAGTTTACGAATTAATGCGGCAATGTTGGCAGTGGTCAGCAGCAGATCGGCCAACTTTCAAGGAAATACATCATTCATTAGAAAATATGTTTCAAGAATCGAGTATCACTGAAGGTTAGTAAATTATTCTATCAGATAATTAATTTCATTTTATATAAAGCATTGAAATCTCATTAACCTGTACATGCACCTATTGTAGAGGTAGAAAAGCAACTTCAAGGTGGAGGGGAGATCCCATTACTATCATACAAAAAGTCACAGAGTACAGGAAGTACGGGAAATATACATGGACTTGTTCTTGTATCCGAGCAATTATCGTCTTCTGGCATAACACAAGGTAATAATTAACATTGTGATATCATTAATAACTCACTTTTTAGCATTGAAGTGGAAAGTATAAATTAAGTATAAAATAAGAAAATATAAATTATAAATTAGTTTTTATAATATCATGATAAAAAAAAAATTATTTGATTTCAGATTTTACTGCTTTTTAAAAATCTTACTTTAAAAAAGGCTTTATTCTATTAAAATATACTTTTTAAAATATCTTATTTACAAGATTATTCTAATAGACAAAATATATATTTTGTGCAGAAGGAGTTGGGTCGGTTACTAAGCTGAGTACTTTTATGGGTGGCTTGTCAAGTAGAAGTAATAGTAACATGGTTCAAATGCGAAGATCGACCAATAAGAAGGGAAAACAAGCGCCGGCACCTCCTAAACGAACAAGGTATGCTTTCTTTTCACCTATAAATATGATCGAACAATTAACTTTATGACATAACAAAAAGCTATATCTTCCATCACAGCCTGCTGTCATCGTGCAGTTCTTTTCGAGATTCCGCCTATCAAGAGCAAGATCAGCAAAATGTCGAAGTGAGCACTATGACGCTTGACGATGGCACAGATCTAAATGGTATTGATAAGATTTTTGAAGGTATTCCACTATATCAAACTTAAGTGTAATGATCAATGCACGAAATTGCTGCTTTTATTTAATTTTTCTTTTGTTAACTTTCAGTTGACTTTGAATTTAATTTTGATATGCATCTTCGCCTACAGTGATTTTACGGCTTCATGAATGTGGGTCATTCTCCTCGAGTCAATATGTATAATTGAATGTTTAATATATATACACGCCGAATACTAATTTTCGACGATAGTACTTGGATATATTTTATTAATGCATATACTCGAACGTCTGCATC